CAATTCAAATTCTCAAGAATGATATTCAATCAAGTTAAATAAATCCCTATATGGATTAAAGCAATCAAGGCACATATGGTATAACCAAATTAGTGAGTATCTCTTGAAAGAAGGGTATAAAAATGATACAATATGCCCATGCATTTTTATGAAAAGATCAGAAAATAAGTTTGCTATAATCACCATTTATGTTGATGATATAAATATTATTAGAATTCCTAAAGAGCTTGAAAAGGCGGTGAATTTCCTAAAGAAAGAATTTGAAATGAAGGACCTAAGAAGAACAAAATTTTGTCTAGAATTACAAATTGAGTGTTTGAAAAATGGAATCTTTATATACGAAGAAAATTATACAAAAAAAAGTCCTAGAACATTTTTATATGGATAAATCACATTCATTATGTACTCCAATAGTTTTAAGATCTTTGGAGGTAAGTAAAGACCATTTTAGACCTCGAGAAATGGGAAAAGGGTGATGAAGAGCTGCTTGGTCTAGAAGTACCATATCTCAGTGCAGTTGGAGTACTAATACATCTTGCAAATCATACGCGACCTGATATATCATTTGCAGTTAACTTGTCAGCAAGATATAGTTCTTCACCAACATGAAGGCATTGGAATGGAGTTAAGCACATCCTTTGTTATCTTATGGGTACAATGGACATGGGATTATTTTATTCAAATACACCCAAGACTGATCTTATTAGCTATTCAGACGCTGGATTTTGGTCTGATCCACATTTCGGCAAGTCACAAACAGATTATTATTCACATGTGGTGGTACAACCATTTCATGGCGATCTATAAAACAAACTATATTAGCCACATCATCTAACCATGCAGAGATTCTAGCAATGCATGAAGCAAGTCGAAAATATGTATGGTTAAGGTCCTTAATACATCACATACGACCTACTTGTGGCTTATCTTATGGTAAAATAATCCCAATAATCTTAAACAAAGATAATACTGCATGTATTACCCAACTAAAGGAAGGGTACATCAAAAGAGATAGAATAAAGCATATCTCTCAAAAATTCTTCTTCACTTGTGACCTTCAAAAGGATAGTGAAGTTAATATCTAGCAAATTCATTTCAGTGAAAATTTAGCAGACCTACTCACCAAATCACTTCCAGCCACCATGTGCAAGAGGCTTGCTCACAACATTGGGCTTCATAGACTCATATATATCAACTGACATTGTCAAGAGGGGAAGTAAATACATATTGTACTCTTTTTTTCCCTTGTCTATGGTTTTTCTCATTGGGTTTCCTAGCAAGGTTTTTTAATGAGACGGCATTATGAAATATATTAGTAAATGTTGTACTCTTTTTCTTCTAAGTCTTTGTCTCACAAGGTTTTTCTTAGTAAAAGTTTTGTTTAATGAGGCATATAATTTAGTTATGGACATCTAATGGGGAGCGTTATAAATATAATATCTTTATAGACATCCATGTATCTATCATTATCTCCCATTATTTTTAATATCTCTTATTATCTTCATTATCCACAATTATCTCCTATTATCATAGAATCTGTAGATTCTATTAAAGATGTAAAGTTATACCCATAAATGGAGGGTTTGTATCATATGTTGAGAACCTCATATGGTATAAAAAAAATACTCTCTTGTTTCTTTATTCACTATTCTCTACTTTTCTTCCATATTCTACTATTTATTTTATAACACTAATTGATTTGCATCATTGATTTTCAATTCTTTCCTAGAGATTTGCACAAGAAAAATTATTCTATAAAAATCTACACCAAACATGACTAATTATTTGTCACAAAATATAAAATAGAAATAAAATAAAATATAATTTAATTATCGATTGGCACAATTTATTACTAAAATGGAGAATAAAAATATGTATAAATAAGATTTATCAATATACCTAACAATTTATTATAAATTCATTTATTAATAATTAATACATTTAATTATAAGTAGTCTTTTTATTGACAAATATGGATATTTTAATGCATTGTATTTAAATTATTTTTTTTAATGATCATCAGTTTGACTTGGGTTGACTCTGTTTTGACCTATTAACCCTTGACTCATTGTTTCAACCAGTTCAATAACCAGTCCGATTTTTATTTCCTTGGTTATAACATAATAGGAGTTGGACCCAATGAAAAAGGTTAATCCCTCAATACATGAAGAATGCTCAAATTCGTCAAATTTAATGTTCAACAGCGTTTGGAATATAATTGCCTCTAATATAAGGATACCTATACTTAGCAAAAAAAAAAAACTCAATTATGATTAAAATTTAATTAAATTAAAATATATAATTCCAAAAAGAATAATATTTTTTTGCCAACTTAAAAAGAATCATATTTAAATAAAAAAATATTAATTCATGAACAAATGAATATTTATATATAAATTACATCCAATCCTATAAAATAAACTTTGTCATGGATTGCTATTTTTACTTTTTCCCAACAAAAAAAAAAAGCAGAACAACGTATTAGTTCTGAAATGGAAGGAGGGAAAAAAATCTAATACAATAGACTCGTCCGAAACTCTTGTAGCTGAATTGGGTGGTAAGAGACTATCAACTCACTGGTTTGAGTAATGGATATAGGTTATATATTTTTTTTAAAACCATGTGGTTAGATTTTAGGGAGAATTGGAGCAAAGGACCTATAGAAAAATGCATTTATTAAAAAAAATTATGAAAACTGTAATTATTTAGAATAAATAAATAAATAATATAAATTTTAATACTAAATTATCTTTATTTCTCACCTACCTTCTGCGATCCCTCTATTCTCCGTACTCAATTCCAAACCAGCTCTTCAAGCTTGCTTACCCCAGACTTCATTCTCTTATTCATACTCAGAATTTGCAATTATTAATTATTCATCCAAAGTTCAAACTTGCATAATTTGCTGCTTATTTTATCCATTACCTATTGATTTCTAGTATAGCCATATAACAGTGGCAGTAGATCAATTGATTAAATAAACTTAATAATATATCGATGGAGGGTGATAGGAACCAAACTAGAAGTATGTCCTACAATGTTGCTGCCAAAAACCTTTGGCTGTAGTGGCATTAGCATCCCCCCACCTCTCAAGGGATACGCTAGCCATCTAAATTCAAAACAAAAAAAAAAAAAAAGTCCTGTAACGTTGCTGCCAAAAAAATGGACTTCACAAATACTGAAAACTTAGGCAACTCAAAATCAAAATTCATTAAAATAGTTTTAACAATAATTAGTTTACAAATAACAACACATTTTGAGATCTAGTAATTTTCACAGTATTTTTTTTTTTAATTTTCCCATCTTTCTATTCTGTGTGAATGGATGCAGTGGCCAATGGGAAATGAGGGGAACAAGCTATCTCACCGTCAAATATTTGATGCAGTCAAAGGGAATAATAGAGGAAAATTAGTATTACTATTATCAGGTCAAGTCATGGACAATATAGTCATTTCAAATTTATATTTTAAAAGACCTTTATAATAAATATTATTTTTTAAGGTTCTTTATTCTGATTTTCACTATATTTTAGTAATAGGAGAAAATTAGTATTAGTATTACTATTATCAAATCAAAATCATTATTAATAACTAACAAGTGTAAGGGGTTCAGTTTTGATTTTAATATGAATTTTGGTAAGTTCTTTTATATTATATATTTACAATATCATATTAATATATTATTTGTTTAAGTATATTTTAAATTAGTTTTTCTTAAAAGCTAGTCGACTAATTTAAATAAATTAAGAAAATTAGTTAAATTAGTTATTTATAATAAATAAGCGTTGTATTTCCTAAAATACCTTTACTAATAAAGTGTGTTAGCTAGAATTATCATTGGATGAAACATTTAACATGTGCAATTACTACAAGAGTTATCTTAAAGAAAAAGGAATAACTATGATAAATAAAGTAGATTAAAATTTTATATTTAAGAGTAGATTGAATAGCAAACTAACTTTTATATTAGGGACCTAAGATAGTAGTTTTTAATTTGAACATGTATTTTGAATTTTTTTTTTTGCCAACGATTTTGGGATAAATTTGACACAATATCTAAATGTAAAATAATAATATACTCCCTCCGTTCCTTATTAGAAGAGACATTTGATGCTTATGGCATGTTTCCATATATAAGAGACACTTAAAAGCTGTCTTTATTTTTTTGTATTGATTTCCTATTTTACCTCTATTTATTTTGTATCCAACTCATACTCTCTCTCCCTTTCACTTCTCTTTTTTTTAATAATTTAATTGTTCTCTCTCATACTCTCTCTCTCCTTATTAATAGGGGCATTGTTGGAAAAAACATTATACTTTTTACACATTAATTGTCCTCAACTAATTTTAACTGTTTTTTTTATCAACGTAATTTGGTTATTTGTCTCTTATAATAAGGAACGGAGGGAATACTTTTTAAAAAAAGAAAAATGACGTAAAAAAAAGTTAAAAATTGTAATATTCAAATATAGGCACTTAAGAAGTTGAAATTCTTAAGGAGGAAGTGGTAAATGATCCGGTATTTTGTAAATATAGTCAAATGACTTAAAAGTGTTTGTATCAATTTTTTTTTATAAAAAATGACTAGTATATTTCTTGTTATTAGTTGTTCAATATTTATTATTATCAGCTTAAAACTTATCAATAAATAACTTGTAATTGTCCATGCATTTCTTGTCATTTACTATTTAACACTTGTCATTATCAGTTCATAACTTGTTAATTAACTTTTTGATACCATGACATTTTTTCTCATTTCACTACATTTACAAATACTAGACATCACTTCCTCTGAAATTTTAAAATTTTAGGTGTATGATGAATGAGAATATTGTAATTTTTAACTTTTTTTTTTAGTATGTCATTTTTCCTTTCAAAAAATTAAAATAATAATAAAAAATATTTATTTTTTAAAGAACCTGTCCTAAATGCAATACCAGTTGTAATTCTTGCTGTTTTATTCTTCTCCCATAATAAAGGTAGAAAATACTAGCAGCTGACATTTCAATCGCGCAGGGCGATAGGAATAGGAGTGTTCCTTCGAAAGATATAACAAACTCAACGTGCATCAGAGAGATCGATCTGTAGCCTCACTGGGCATGAAGCCCTAATCGAGCGAAGTTTTGATCACTCTCTTCCTTGGGGAAAACCCCTCATTTACGCTCGTCTCTGAGGTCCATCAGTAAGGATAATTCTCGAAACCCCTTTACCTTTGTGTTGCCTGATGAATTAAATTGATCGGCTCTTCAATTTGCTCTCTGATTATGAGTTTCTATTTTCCTAATTAAATAATTGTTTATTCCTTTTGCTGAAGCTGTGAATTTTTCTTTTTTTGCCTTTGGTTTCGCTAGGGTTCTGAAGATCTGTTTGAATATCTGTTGAGTTTGATTATCTGAGATGGATGGCAACAAAGACGATGCGTTAAAATGCTTGAAAATTGGGAGAGAGGCATTAGAAAGCGGGGATCGGGCTCGCGCTTTGAAATTTGTTGCCAAAGCTCGCCGTCTTGACCCCACTTTGCCCGTCGACGATCTATTGGTGGCGATAGAGAAAGATACAAGTGACCAACCGCCGACGGCGGCTGCTAATGGACCATCGGTGACGTCTTCATCGAAGCCTGCTGATCAACCTTCTCTCCGTCAAAGGGTTTCGACAGCAGGGTCTTCATCCTCTACGTCATCAGCTTCATATACGGACGAACAAATCACGATTGTTAGAGAGATTAGGAGGAAGAAGAACTATTATGAGATTTTGGGATTAGAGAAGGGTTGTACTGTCGAGGATGTGCGTAAAGCGTACAGAAAATTGTCTTTGAAGGTTCATCCTGATAAGAACAAAGCTCCTGGTGCCGAGGAAGCGTTTAAGGCTGTGTCTAAAGCTTTCCAGTGTCTAAGTAATGAAGAGAGTCGTAAGAAGTATGATCTTGTTGGAGAGGATGAATCCATTTACGAAAGACGTGCTGCAAGGCAGCCAACACGGGCATATAATGGGTATTATGAAGCCGATGTTGATGCGGAGGAAATATTTAGAAATTTCTTCTTTGGTGGAATGGCTCCTGCAACACCTTTTGGTGGCTTTAGTTTTGGACCGGGGATGGGTCCAAGGCCAGCTGAGCATGGGCCTAGTGGCTTTAATGTTCGCGCTTTAATTCAGTTGCTTCCTGTTCTGCTTATTCTGCTTCTGAACTTCTTGCCCTCTTCAGATCCTATTTATTCACTTTCTCGGCAGTATCCATATGAACATCGGTTTACTACACCAAAGGGTGTCAATTATTATGTTAAGTCGGCCAAATTTGATCAAGACTACCCACCAAATAGCCATGAGCGAATAACACTTGAAGATAGGGTTGAGAGTGATTACCTCAATATTCTTAGAGAGAATTGTCGGCTTGAGTGGCATCGCCGCCAATGGGGATATATCCGGGAAATGCCACATTGTGAAATGCTTCGCAAGTTTGAGCCAGTGAACTAATAAGTGAATTAAGGTTCAGTTTTTTATCTCCTAGTCTCTTTTCAGACATAAATTTACCCTTTTGTGATGATTGGATATAAAATACAATTAAGTTTTCAGTCTTATGTCCGTGAATCAACTCATAATAAGTCACGGTGTAGATTGCAATCACTTAAACTTTATCAATTATCTCCGATAGTTCTTCCTTGCACTTGTTAAAAGCATTCAATACTAGTAATAGAATGTGTTACCTGCTTATGTACTATTGACTTTATCTTTTTGTTAACTGATCTATACTACGTTAATGCGAGTTGTTTGTGATTATGTTAACCTACTGCCCTAGGAATTTGCCTTGGCAGCTTCGCTGTGAACTCTCTGGTGACTTGTTTGTTAGTAGTGGAGTAAATGAGTAATTGCTATTTGGTGTTGTGATGCGATGGTATGGTTTTTCAGGTAGTTCCAGTGCTGCAATCTGATGGCTTTCTATATTAAATCACTGGATGTTACTAGTGGCACTGGCGGCATGAATTAGTTAAGCATATCTTGGTACAAATGCGGGGAGGGGTTAATTCAATTATACTGTTTTACATTATTCAGTTGAAATGTCAAACTATTGCTGACTTAAGTTTGGTGAATTTGTATATTTTATCAGTAGAATGGTTTAGGAATTTTATTTGCTGTAATGTTGTTTGTAACTTTATGTAGTTTACTAAATTGATGTCTATTGCATTTACCCTGCTATTTTGATACAAAAATGGGTCCTTGGCAAATCGGTTTCACATCCTAATTTTAATGCAGTCAGGCTGGGTTTCTTAATCTATGCCGATATTAATATTGATAGGTTTTGTGTTTTGAGATCGGTATTGTCTTGGAGATTGCATGTTGAGATGGATTTTTATTGTTCCTGAATACACTTTGTTTGGTATTTTAGGCCCATATTAATAGTGATAGGTTTTGTATTTAGAAATTCTATTGTTTTGCAGATTGCATGTTGATGGGGATGCTTAGAATTCCTCAATTGTGGAGAGAAAAACATTGGGAGTCTGGAGTCTATGTTGAAAGTCGTGGTATTACCCCTGGAGGCCTCTTGAATGTATACTTTACTTTCTGCTACAAGGTTTCTGAAATATTATTTGCGTGCTATAGATCTTGTAAAACTTGCAATGTAGTTTACAACTATTCCTTTTGATAATGCTATGAGCAAATTGATCTCTAAATCTCCGAGGTTGATCCGGTGGCGATATAATATTACAACAGCTTGTGTTTTGGGGGCCAAAAAAAAAAAAAAGTACATGGGTCGGTATTTGCTTGGCTTATTGGACGCCAACTTGATCCATCTTTTGCCTTTCAGGTTATATTTATTGAGGTATTATTCTTATTCAAATATTTATAGATATGGGGAGATTTGCTTGAATATATTTTCCTCTTTTGGATATGTTTGAATGGATTAAAGAGAGCCAGAGAAAAAGGGCGGAGAAATTTTTGATTTAGATGGGAAGTTAAGGTTCAAATTGAACTTTCCCCTATCACTTCTTTTCTTCCATTCGCTTCATCAAGAATTCATCAAGTCGGTCATCCAGATTGGCATGTGGTTCGCTGGAAACAGGAGTTGAGAAATGGAAAAGAAACTGAAGAAGTCATTTCCCAGGGTTTTGTTGGGAGGAAATGTGGTTCGAAGGAAATTAATTTCCAGCAAGACTCTGGAAGATGGGTTTCGCTCCTGAGGCGTTAGAAAATTTTATTTTCCTGAGAAGAACAAGTCGTATGCCTGTTTTGTGCAATTCCAAATGGAAACTCAAAGCCTCCTATGCCCTTGTCTTAGATTAATGTTTGCAAGATTGATCATCCTAACTATATTTTGCAAATTGTAGTTAGGTAAAAGTTAAATTAGTATAATATGATTTAAGTTTGGATTTTTTTTTTCTAAAGTTAGTTTAACAAATTGAATTTTTTTTTGGGTGATATAATTAAATAGCAAATGTAGATGTGAAATGACTAAAAGGTACATTATATATATGTGTGTGTGATACGTATATAATTGGAAAAATTTTCACAGAAATAGCTTTTGAAATTTAAAAACAAAGGAAATTCAAATTAATATTCATGATTAAATTAAAATTTTAAACTGTTAATGAATTTACAATGCTATCTTTTTTCTTTTTTAAAGCAAGAATTTAAGTCAGTCTTAGGGCAACCCACCACACCAGCTGCCAATAGCCGTGGAGCCTCTGTGCCTGCTGGCAGTCTGTGTCGGTTCTTCGTACTCAGGGGGTCAAAATGGGATTTGATCCCACTCGTGGGCTTCCTGAAAGGTCTGGTGTCATTGACAAACCAAATCCATCTATTATGATATTAGAAAATGGGGGAAGTTAAATTTTTATTTTTCAAGTTTTAATTCACTAATAATGTAACATTCCGAATTTTCTGACTTAGATGAGCAGAAAAGAGAAAATTCATTAAAATTATTTAATAGCTCAATCATACTTGGGAAAAATTATGGAATATTGATTTTCAAGGTTTAGAAATATTTTGGAAAAGTTCATTCCCCAAAAAGTGGCTTAAATGATTTTAAAGCTATTTTCATAGCAAAATGGGTTATTTTTTTAGAAAATACTTAGAGGTTTCTAATTAACTAGAAAATTTTAGGTAAATTATCTTATGAGGCAAAGAAGATAGTTGAGGCATAAAATCCTTAAAATGGGTTAAGTATTAATTTCTGAAATTAAGAGCTATTTTCTTGAAAATTCCAGAAAAATAGTCAGGAGTTGACTTTTGACCTGAAATTTTTAGGGAAATTATTTTATGGGTCAAAGAAGCTAATGGATAAGAAAAATCCATTTATGATATTTTGGTTTAATTTCTGGATATATTTTATATTTCAGAAAAATAGGAGAAAGATAAGATTGAAGGAATAATTATGTGGGAGGGCAAAATGGTCCAGGAACTTTGTAATACAAGTGCTGCCTTCTCTATTAGCCACCTGGTTCACTCCTCCATGTAACAGCTGTTTACCCATGCGTTTAATTTATCTCGTTCGGTGTCCAAAAGAAAAGAGAGATGGAGACGGAGAGCGAGAGAGGGAGAGCACGGGAGAAACTGAGTTGGTGGAGCTGGAGGAGTGACCGGAGGTAGTATCAAGTGCATGCAAACTGATCAAACAATCCAGGTGAGCTCCCTAATCCTTCTCGCATCTTTATTGTCGTTGAACAGGGGCTGTTTGAGGTGTTGATGAAGATAGAAGTGTTAAGGAAGGGAGAGAAGGATCAGTGGGTTCATGTTATATGGCAATATTGAAGTATATGGTGTTGGTTTTTGAGCTTGCATGTGCTGTTTTCCTTCTCTGTTTTGGTTGCCGAAAAACAGAGGTTAAAGGGAGGAGAAGGATGCTTCTTTTATATATATATATATATATATATATATATATATATGCATGTGCCGCAGGATCCTGAAGATGGTTGTGTGTGACAAGTTGCTCTGTTTCATGGATCCGAGACAGGGGAGTGTGTTTTGTGCTTGCATGTTGATTCCGTTTCTGTTTTTTTTTTTAGCTCTAACACAGGCGCTAATAACTTAAGATAATGATGTCTAGTTTTTGGTGGTTGGATGTTATATGAATGAGGCATATAGGTTTGTTCCGGGATTGCATGTCGTCTAGCTTTATTGTGTGTGAAGTTTCAAAAGTCTATGACTCCTGGTTCTGGTAAGCCGAGACAGGCTCTATAGGTTGGAAAGTTTCTGGTTTTTGTTGGTTGTGAGATAGGAAAAGAAAATGATACACATTTGTATATGTGCGCCTCGGTCATGTTTGTGGGAACTGAATTTACATAGTTAAATGGCGTCGGGTTCACTGGTTTGAGAGGAGACCGAACTGACATATATATATAGTTTCGGTACATGTGTGTGTGTGTATATAGGATGTGTGTGTGTATAAATATATAAGTTTGAATGATGCTTACTTCCTCCTTTTGTGATCATTATATCTGGTTTGGGGAATGTCTTTGGACCTGGAACCAAAAAGATTTCCTGATTTGTCATTCTGTGAGGCGTGATATATTGAGAGGGAAGGAGGTATTGAAAGCTCATATAGGAATGTATACGCAAACAAGGTAGCAATATATGACTTACAGAGGAATTTGCATTGGATATATTTTTATATATATGGGCCGTGAATTTGAATGTTGAGGAACCTAAAATTTGTCTAAGTCTTGTGGGCTATTAAAATGAGTAGGTATGATGAAGTTCCCAAATGATTAATGGGTAATTTAGAAAATTAAATCTTAGTTAGAAGAAATAGTGTTCCAACCCCTTTAAGCTTTTGAAAGAAGGAGGTACTTGTTTTAAGATGAAGATATAATAAGATAGTTAAGGTTGAATAGATTAACGAATGGAACTCTTTTTAGTTGAATAGAAATGTATCTGGGGACTTAAAATGTTGATTTAAAGTTGAAGGAGAGACTTAAATAATTTGAATTGTTTGAGAAGTTAAGAGGATTATGCGGCTATAGGAGATTATATGCACGTGGGAGTATGCTTTTAAATCTGGAAAATGCTTCCAGATCAAGTGCAAGGTTATGTGTGTCATAGGAGATATAAATATACATGTGTATAGGCATGTGCTGTTATGAAAACTCAATGTATAGTTACTGTTTAGTATCTCTAAATGATAAACAAGTATTTTAAGTTATTAAATTGAGTTTAGAAACTTCAAATGAAGTGGTGCTGGTATGGTTTGAGGATGCGACATGGTCCTTAAATACAATAACTAATATATATTATATTTGACCAAGATGACCAGTTACTAAGTAAAGTAAACTGTATGGGTTGAGATAATTAAGGAAGGAAGCGTTCTAGTTATAATAGTTCGAATAAAAAAAATTGTCCAGGATGACCAACTGTTATATAAGGGTAGAGATTAAAGAAAATTTGGGATTTAAAGAGAGTTATTGAATTTATGAATTACAATTGGATCAAAACATGATAGGTTTTGATATATGCTCAAGCTCACCAAAAAGCAGAAAGAAAGGAGAACGGTAAGGTTTTATTTGGAGGGAAGCAGATAAGATAGTAGTTCTTTCCTACCTTACACTTGTGTATGATTGCTGCATGTTTGTTTGTGCCATATTGCTTTTCTAAAACATGAGAACATGTAATCCTTAATTCCTTGCATGGATTATTTAGCCGTAATCACGTGTAGTTGATAGACATGGGGTAGTATTTGCCAATTATTTGCGCATTATTTATTCAGCTTGTCTATCTGTCATTGCGCATAAATGCTTAATTGCATTAGCTTGCAAGGTTATGTTCCACCTTGGCTTGTTTTGCATGCTTTATGTGATCTGCATATGTGTTTGGTGGAAATTACTACTACGGAGATTCTTCGGAATCTCACCCTCCAATTTATGATGAACAGTGAAGGCTAGTAGCTCGAAGGACAAGGAGGTTGTTTAAGAAGAAGGTGGGCTGGTTGAAGAGTAGAGATACCTGTTATAATTCTGTAAATTGTATAGCAAATATATGGGCAAGTAACTTTACTTGCTTTATGTAAATATTTTGTGTTCTCTATAAGGAGGAGAGCACTGCCGGCTGTAAGTATGCGCTGTCAACCAAAATGGTTGCTATATTTTTAATATAATATTATGAGATTTCATAGTATAAAATCATTCTAGGTAATAATAGATTAAGTTGAAAGCATGGTTGATATTGGATCACTCATCAGTTATATGAAGGTTTGAAATATTTGATCAACAGATTCCAA